GCGGAAATGGGCACGGTCCGGGCCGGAGCCTGTGACTACTCATGGGGGATGGCGGTGGGGGGATACAAACAGGCCAGATGAGATTCTGATGCCAGCTCTGTTCTTGGCTTGCTGTGTGGCCCTGGGCAAGTGTCTTACCTTCTCTGGGTCTTATTTCCTCACCTGCAAAATGAGGACATTAGAGAGGTGGTTTATAAGCCTGGATATCCTAAGAGAGCCCGGGAGATGGGAGAAGGCAGTGTGAGAACATGGGCTTTGGAGTCAGACGGACTTGGTTCAAAGATCCTCTCTGTCCCTTGTTAGCTGTGGCATCATGCAGGCGTTTTCCTCTCTAGCCCTTGTTTATCCATCTATTCAATGGGGACAAGTGTGTTCCCGCCTGAAGTCACCCAAGCAGCTGAAGGATTCAGGGAGAGAATGGGTGGAGACAGGCTACAAGAAGTGAGTCCCTCCCACCTGGCATGCTCATTAGCTTACCCACGGCCTCCCGTCCCTGGCCTGCCACGGAGCCATGCATCCCAGAGTAGCTTCTGCTGGCTCCCCTAGTCACTCCTGCAGGGTCTGGGGGTCGGGGGGCATCTCCCTGAACAAGCCTCTACCAGGCTTCATCCAATTCTCAGCCTGGAGAAGTCTCCGAGCCTCCACCACATCCCAGTCACACCAGGCTGCGCTCATTCCACAGGTGAGCTGGATGCGGTTCCTCCAGCAGGACACGCTCTCCTTCCCACCAGGTCACACTTGCACGCCCTGGGGAGCACCTGCCAGGTCTCAGGACTTGAATGGAGGCAGCTGCTCCTCTGTGCAGCCTCCTCCCACCCAGCCATGGCCGGCTCTCAGCTGGGTGCCTGCAAGGCTCACCGTCACACTGGAAGTTGCTGATTCTTTACCTGTCCCCACCACCACTCCACCTAGACTGACAGCTCTCAGAGTGGAGACCCTCCTCTGTCACCTCTGTGCACCCGCCCAAGCCCTGCACTTGGCACCATGAGGGTGCTTCACAAACGCTGGTTGACCTCACAGTGGTCAAGAGAGACTTCCTGGAGAGGGAGGGCCTGGAGTTGCATCTTGTTCTGGAGGGAGTGGTGAGCGGGGTGGGAGGTGGGACAGCTCAGAAGATCTTTGGGGGTGCCCTGTCCGGAGAACTGCAGCACAGACCTGCTGCCACTACCCAAGTCATACGGCAGGTGGGTGGCTGAGCTGGAGTACTAAGTCCGGCGCAGACTCCTGAGCACTGAAAGGATGTGGCCAGGAGATGAGGGAGGGGTGTGAAGACAGGGAGCCCCTGGAAGGTAGGACCACACCTGTTCCTCAGGGTCCCACCCATCCCAAGTCCTGGCCCAGAGGGGACACGGCTGATGTTTGCAGTAGAGGCAGAGGAAGAGACAGAGACACAGGGAGACAGAGACAGAGATGAGGCGAGGGAAGCAGCCGAACGAAAAACACCCAGATGCACACAGACACAGCACCCACCAAAGGCAGACAACTCCTCTGACACGTGAGCGGGTGGCTCTGGCACTCACTCACAGCCTAGCAAGTTCTAGTTTCTTTTATTTTTTTTGATTTGGAGTCTCACTCGGTCGCCCAGGCTGGAGTGCAGTGGCACACTCATGGCTACCCCAGTGTCGACCTGCTAGGCTCCGGTGATCCCTCCGCCTCAGCCTTCCAAGTAGCAGGAACTACAGGCGAGTGCTACCATGCCCGGCTCATTTTTTGATATATTGTAGAGATGAGGTCTCGCCAAGTTGCCCGGGTGGGTCTTGAACCCGTGGGCTCAGACAATCCACTTACCTCAGCCTCCCAAAGTGCTGGGATTACAGGCTGAGCCACCCAGCCCAGCCAAGTTCCCGTTTGTGATTAGATAAAGCATCCACGCGGTGCTTAGGGGTTTGTAGGGAGCTGCTGGGTGCCCTTCCCTGTGGGCAGCACATGACTGCCACCTGGAGCCTTGTGTTTTCAGACAAGAGTTCCAGGCAAGGGGGAGGCCCCAAGGGGCTGAGAGCCTAAGAGAGGAGAGCTGAGAGCTCTCCTTCCGGTCAGGAGAGCTAAGGGAAGTATCTCAAAAGAAAGTGCAAAAGCAGATAGACATTGGGTAAGAGGCTCAGCTGGGGTCCAGGAGTGCCAGGGAGGACCCAGACATGGGCTCACCCATGAGCCCTCCTACCTAAGTGGCCAGGTGTGGGCAGGAAGGCAGTCTGATCCCTCTTCCCTCTCCGTTGCCCCTCTCCAAATATGGCTCACTTATTGAGGCCTCTGAGCCTCTGTGCATGCTGTTCCCTCTGCTCACAGGGACCTTTCCTCACTCTGCTCAGCAAAAGTTGCGTGTCCGTTCAGAACCTGCTGTCTATCTTCTTCCTGTCTCCCGGCTGCACCTTCTCGACCTCCCTCCCTGCTGCCTTATCCACCTGCATTCCCCCAGGACCCCATGCCCCATGACTCATACTCTACCCTCTCAATCCGAGCACTCCCGAGTGATCTCATCAGCCTGGCGGCTTGCAGCACCATCAATACACGACAACTCCCGAATTTATATCTCTCGTCCGGGACCTTTCTCTGCCTTCCAGACTCATATATCCAGCTGCCCACTCAATCTTTCCACTTGTATGTCTCCAAGGCATCTTGAACTCCGCGTGTCTAAAACAGAGCTCAGCTTCGTGCAGCCCTTCCCGGCCATCGCCCCTGGCCAAATACATGACCACCTCTGTTCTGCCACTGGCTCCTCTTCCAAAACCAAGAGCCTTCCTGGACTGTCCCCGACTTTTAAAATCCTCCACTTCTAGCCCATCAGCAAGCTTGGGTGGGTGCTGGATCTGTGAAAGAGACCAGCTTTCAGTGCAGCTCCCGTCTTCCCCTGCTGCCGCCGGTCCAAGCTGCCACCACCTCCGCCTGGATGTGGGCAGCAGCCTCCCAGCCATCTCTCTGCTCCACTCTTGCCTGCCGACAGAAGCAGGTGCCCTACGGTCTTTGTGACTTCCCCTCCAGCCACACCGGCATCCCTGCATTTTTCTGAATGGGCCAAGTGCATCCCCGCCCACTCTCTGGCTGTAGTCAGGTTCAAATGCCACCTTCACAGAGGTCTTCCTTGACCATCCTTGTCCAAGAATACCTCACTCTGCCCTGGAGACTCTGCCCTCACTCCGCTTAATTTCTCTTCTACAAACTTTGTATCACCTGATGTATCACACATCCACTTTTTAGGTATTTATGTCTTTTCACGGGAATAGAAGTACCATGAGGACAGGGGGTGCTGCCTGTTTTAGTATTCCCGGCTGCATCTCCAGAACCTCAAGAGTTCCTGACCCAGAGACGTTCTTATTAACACCCGGGGAATGACTACATGAACCATGCAGTTCTCTCTTCCCTGAGTATCTCCTGCACGGTCGGGTCATGGGCAGGCCTCCCCTGTGTAGTCACAGACACCGCACCAGCTTGGAACACTGCCCGGTGGAACTCTGCCTGGCTCTGGGATCCTGAGTCCACCTCCTCTGCACACCACAACCTCTCAGGGCAGGGTCATAGAGGAGCTCTGTCTCCAAAACTCTGCCTTTCATTGTAGATCTGGTCCAGGATGAGAGTCAGGGAATGTTTGATGAGTGAATTAAAGAGTAAATGGATGGATGGATAAATAAGTGAATGAGATGAAGAGTAAAGGGTGGATGGAAGAATGGGTAAGCGGTAGAGGGATGAGTAGGTAAGTGGATGGATGGATAGAAAGATGGGTTAGATAGGTGAGTGGATGGGTGGGTGGGCGGATGAATGCATGGATGAACGGGTGAATGTATAGATAAGTGGATGGGCAGATGGAAGGATAGATAGGTGGTAGAGAGATGAGTGGGTGAGTAGATGGATGGTCAGGAAGACGGATGGGTGGATGGGTGGGTGGATGGATGGGTGGGTAGCTGGGCGAATGCACAGATGAGTAGATGGGCAGATGGAAGGATGAATAGGTGGTAGAGAGATAAATGGGTAAATGGAGAGAAAAATATACAGATGAGAGGGCGGGGGGTGGGACTGGCAGGAGCGGGAAACTGCCAGGGGAAAGGGGGGCATACTCAACAACAAGGGCACCTGCTTCACGAACACTTGTATGCCTAACCCTGAATTGTGCCCCACACATTTAAAATAAAAAATTTAAAACAAGAAAGATGTGTGTGTGGGTGGATGGGTGGGTGAACGGGTGGATGGATGGACGGGTGAGTGGGTAGATGATGGATGGATGGACAGACGGGTGAACGGATGGGTGAGTGGGGTGGATGGATGGGCCCTACCCAAGGCACACAGTAGCGACGGGTGGTGGCTTGGCTTCTCTGGGGATGACGGGTCAAACTGGTGCAGTACAGTAAAAGTGCAAAAGCTGAGAAGGCAAATAGGACACAGCAAGCTGCTCTGGTGTGACCAGCGCTTGCTGTGATCCCTGGCAGGCCATGAACTTCCTTGTACTTTAGTCTCACGGTCTGAAAATGCAGAAAATAATTCTTGCCCAGAGCTGCCAGGGAGACAACTTTGGAGTTCTGATTGCTGCCACAAAGGAGACCACCACTACCAGTGAAACGCAGCCCTGGCCAGGTCTGCCTTAGAAAATCCTCTCATCTCAGGCCCCACTGGTCCCACTACCTTGTAGCCTTATAATGCCACATCTACACGGCCTGGGATCCTTGGCTACACCCCCGGAGTTCAAACTGAATCCACGCTGCTAAGATGGCTTAACTCCAAAGAGCAGTCAGACACACTGATTCACAGGATCCTCGAGAACGGGAGCGAGTGGAGGCCCGGAGCCCAGCACCCGCTTTGGCGACAGGCAAACTGAAGCCAGAAGCATTTTGTGGGGGCATGGGCACCACACGACAGTGACAGAGGGGCTCTGTGGTCAGGGTCAGGAAAGGCAGGAGAAGGGGCTGCCAATTCTCAGCTCTGGTCCAGTCCATCACTTCCCGGCTGCCTGACCTTGCCCTTGCCCCGTGGTGGTGTGGCCTGGGTGTCAGGGCGTCGGGGTCTGGTGTTACCTTTCTGGGTCTGGCAGCTCGGTGGCAAGCGGCGACTCCTCTCACACCCTTTGCTGCATTGGTCTGATGCCAACGGGCGTCTTCCTCTTCCTCCTGGGTACTTGGGAGAGACAGGATGTATGTGAGCATCCGGGGATGCAGAGAGCTGGGGCCACTCCCTCCACCTCTGTCCCCACCGCCATGCTAGTCTCGGTGGTCTCTTGGGCCACTTGAGCACACCCCGGGGTGCCTGATTTATCAGAGTTGGCTGTGTCTTCCCCACCCAACCGCACTCCGACAAGCAAGCCAATTCCTCCGAGTGGGATTTTTAAAAAAATATGTGTATTGTTTCTTCTAGAGCTCAGGGGCTTTCTGTTGTCATCTTCCTCTTTAGTCAGAAAAGGAGAAAGCCATCACCTTCCTGTGTGGCCCCAGGCAGGGTAACAGGGAGAAGCTGTCAGGGGTATTTTTAGCCGGGCATACAAAGCCCTTGCCATGGGCTCCTCGCGTGGCTGCGAGGAATTATCTCACTCGGCCGGCCCGGCAGCCACTTCCAAAGCCACTCTCTGACCCCTGCCTGAATTCTTTCCTCATTATGAATTGCTCACCAGATCTCGGACCAACACTTGGAGCCATTTTACAAGCGCGCACACCTCCCAGGGAAAACCAGCCCACTCCCTCACCCTTCCCACAAGGCCCAGGGACTGGCCGGGGAGGCCCAGGCAGAGCTTAAAGCAGAAGAGGGTCTGTGATGTGTTACAGCTTGTTCCCCAAACTTCGGCGCTTCCCCTATGCCCTTCCCGATCCTTGGTCTGAGCTGAGACCGACCTGCGTGATGACTTAATTAATAGTCACCTTCAACTCTCTCTATCTTTTCAGCACCAGTAAATCTGGCCTTGTCCAAAGCAATCCTGCCCATGAAATCACTGATCTGACAGGCCAGTTTTCTATTTCTAGTGCACCTTAATAAGTTACAATTAATAAAACAAAAAAATATATATATTCTTTCGGGTACTATCTAGTCTCACCGTCACAGACTACTGGAGCTACATGGGCCAAGCTTTAGCCAACCCCCTACTGTTCATTGACCCTCATGTAGAGCAGAAGGAAAATGACAGACACAGAAGAGGGGCCAGGTGGCTGGGGGGGCCTGGGACTCAGCATGTGAGGCCAACGGGGTCAGCATCCTGGTGTGCTGGGAGCTTCCAGTGCTGTCCTCTCCTTCTGGCACCAGGCGAGGCCATTCCTAGCCCCACACCTGAACTTTGCTACAAGAATCCAGGCAGATGCGTGTGAAGCCTCTTGAGGATGGAGTGTCCCAAAGGAGGGCATCAGGCCATGCCCGGGCCCAGGGTCTAAGATGGCATCTTTTCCCAGCATTCTCCGAGGCCCTGGGTTCACCTCTGCCCCTCCTGTCCGGCTCCCCTCGCTGGAGTGGGTCCGCAGGGGCTGGAGGGCTGATTGCCTCTCTGGGTAGATGTGAGAGCACAGAACACGCCCCTGAACCCTACAGCCTGAGCTCTTGTCCCTCTGTCCCATGGGCTCTTGGGGGAGCCTTGTGCCTTCTTTGAGCCTCGGCGTCCCTCCTCCAGAGGAGACCCTGGTGATCCTTGGAGCTCGGGGGCCTCACTGCCACTCACTGCCCTCTCCCGCTCTGCCCACGGGTTGGAGACCCCGGCTGGGCCCCTAGCTCCAAGCTCGCCTGCCCGCCCCTCCCCCTGAGAACAGGATGTGAGTGTCAGGAGGTGAAGGAGAGTGTGGGGGTCGGGGTGGGGAGTGGCTCAGGACGGGACTTCCTGAAGCCAGATCGGTTTACCACAGTCAGTTGGGCCCAGGACCGCACAGCTGTGAGTTATAAATGTCCCTGTCAGAACCCAGGCCGAGAGGCCCTGTTGCTGGCAGCGGCGCCAGGGCCCACAGCACCCATCCTGGGGCCTCCCCAGTCAAGAGCCTGTCCTTTTGGAGGGCCCCCGGGGGTTGTGTCCAGCTCTCACGACCCCTGCGCTCTCTCGACTCCTCTCTTGAGATACCTGACGTGACGGGGTCTAACACCACCTTGCCCTGCCCACGCCTCACCCTTCCAGTTGTGAATCTGGTGGTTCCAGCGACCCCAAGAGTTCCCAGAAGGCTGGGACCATTCTGGCCTACACCCAGCATGAGCCCAGGGCTTGGTGCCCAGCCAGCCACCCAACGACGACTGCAGGGACAGTTGATGCAAGTCAGTAGCCACTTCTCACAGCCCACCAGGACACACATGGGCAGGAGGCAGGAGGGGAAAGGGCCCTAGTCCGGGGCACCTGGCCCCGGTGAGCGGGTGCAGCAGGCTGGACACCAGGCTCTGTGTCCCGCACAGCCAGGGAGTCTCCCCAGGGGAGGGTCCTGTTCTCCCTGCCTGCCCCCTCGGTGCTCTCTCAGTCTGGGTGTGCAGTGTGGACCCCTGCTCAGGGCCCAGCTTGCACACAACACAGCTGTCTTCAGAGTGAGAAGGGAGGGCTCTCACCCCAAGGCAGGCCAGCCTCCTGCTGGGGCCACCAAGGTGGGCAGCCCAGGGCTGGGCCACAGAAATATAATACAGGTGACAGAAATTATCTGGAGTGGTTCCGGCTTACTTTGTCTGTCATTTACACAATGTCAGAGGCCCTCTTTTAAAAAAAAATACTTAAAAATACAAAGGCATATTTAGAATTAGAAAAGAAATCACAACAAATCCCTAGAGCCTTAGGGATCCAGGCCTTTCTCGTGAAGTCCCTTTGAACAGTTTGCCAGAAATGCTTACCCAGAAACGCTCCTGTTATAAACTGCTGTCCCTTCACCTAGAACACTCTATAGCTCCCAGCAACTCCTAGTCTTCACCCAGGCCTTGCATGGGAGGGGCCGGGGAAGCTTAAGCTTCATGAGCTTCCCTGCAAATCCTCCTCTAATCATAATAACGGTGATGAAACATAATATTTAAAACTAAAGGACCTTTAGCTGTACTGTTCTAAGTACATTATGTGAATTAATTTATTTAATCTTGTCACAATGTATGAGGTAGGTATTGTATCCATTTTCAAAAGATGAGCAAACAGAGAGGTTAATAAACCAATCCAAGGTCACACAGCTGGTATGAGAACTCAGACAGCCCAGCACTGATGCATTGCCAGACCTCCCCATCCTCTCTACTACCTTCCTGGAAAGGCCAGCAAAGTATTTCTTCCCCAAGAGGCTGCAACAGCAGCAACAACCAAGAGCTGACACTAAGTAGACCTCCTTTTGATGAAACCATTCATTCATTCCACACAAACACACTGAACACCAGAACCAAGATCATGGCAGTAGATGGTGGCTTCCCGCTTGCCTCACCCACTTATGCCCTCTCCATGGGCATAAGTGGGCATTGCCTGGGCTTTCCGGGTCATCCTAGAGATAGGTTGGGCCCACCCCAAGGAGACCTCAGCAGGGTGAGGGCGGGGGAAGGCTCACTAAAGGTCCCATAGCCTGTTGTCCTCGTTTTACGGACAAGTAAAGGTGGCCCGGAAAGCAGTGCCATCCAGAGGGACCCCACATGAGGTCCAAGGTCACTCTGCTGGAGGGGCGGGCCTGGGGGTGGCGGCCTGGGCAGGCAGGAGGAGGCAGGTGCTTTTGGCTCCTGGAGCAGGACCTTTGTTTTCTCTCTTTGTTTTCCATCTGCCTGAGGTCCCTGTGGCCTTCCAGGCTTCCCCTGATTGTGTCCAGGGTGATAAAAGGGCTGAAGAGCAGATCTCTGGCAGCAGCAGGGTCACCTCACACAGACACTGTGGCGGCAGGTGGGTGGCTGAGGAGGCCCCGGCCCGGAACTGGGCTCCCCACCGCCTGTGCTGGGCCTTTCTCTGAAGGCCACTTGCCCACGGCTCTCAGAATTCTTTCAGCAAAGCTGGTCCCCATTTTACAGAGGAGAAGGCTGAGGCTGCAGGAAGCAGCAGCAGCAGCAGTGGACGGGAACCCCGGCCCTTGGACTCCAGAGCCTCAGAATCCCAATGGGCAGCACTGACCCTGACCCAGGACTCCCTGGCTGCCCAGACAACACCTGGCCCTGTCCAAGTCATCCTCCCTTTATATCCAGCACTGGCCAGGAAGAACAGACTGTCAGTTAGGGTCTCACCTACCAACATCTGGGACATGGATCCGCTAGGGGCACTTGGTCACTTGGCACGAGATGGGACAGTGTCCAACTTCCTGGCCTCTCTGCAACAGAATCCCAGTGAAACTCCTTCTGGGAGGGTAAAGGACACCCCTCTGGCGGGCTAATTCTGACCAGCCACAGGAGAAAAGGGTATGATCGGGGCAGCAGCCACCCTGTCATGGGATGGGGCAGTGGTGGCCAGCAGCCAGGGACTGGCCTACCCTGCCAGGGGTCTCTGCTGAACTGGCTCTCCCCTGCCTGGCCTCCTGACCTGGGACTCTGGGAGACTCCTCAAGTTATGGAAAACCTTGCCTTGCGTTAACAGTGCAGGCCTTAGTTGTGTTCCATTTCATTCTTCATTTGCCACCATTTAAGTCACTTTAAACCAATTGCTTCCTTTCTCCTTGGCCTCATCATGGGCTGGCTGGACTAATTATGTGTTTTTTTCCAATTCACATGAAAATCAACACACGTGATGAAAGTCTGAGATTTAGACCCTCCACACGCCCAGGTAGCCGGCGCCTGCGAGGCCTGGGCTAGGTGCAGACCGGCCCTGGGGAAGTCTCCATCTGGGCTGGGAGAGGGTCTCGCTGAGTGTGATCAGGGGGCCGGGAGCCCAGGGCTGGACGAGGAAGCGTTAGGAGGTGGAGGTTTCCAGAAAGGCGCATAGAGGGCTCGTTCGTGGGGGCCACAGGCTCGGACCGTTAACCCTTTCCTTCCATGTGGGTTAGAGTTTGGCCGAGATGGTTCTTCAGCAGCAGATAAAGCCACCTCCTTGTAGATCCCTCCTGACAATGAGCACTAGAGTGGGAGTGCAAATATCTAGAACTGCAACCTGTGTCGCTATCTTACTGGAAGGTGCGAGCCTTCTCTAGGCCTCAGCTTCTCCGTCTGTACAGCAACAGCAGATGAATCGGAGACGGCAGCCCCCTGGTGGCATCTGGTGCTCCTGGTGACCCGGGCCCTCTAACCACCC